CGATTCTCTTGCCTCAGCCTCCCAAGTAGCTGGAACTACAGGCACCTGCCACAATGCCCAGCTATTTTTTGGTTGTAGTTGTCATTGTTTGGCAGGTCTGGGCTGAATTTGAACCCGCCAGCTCCAGTGTATATGGCTGGCAACCCAGCCACTTGAGCTACAGGCGCCAAGATACAAACTAACTTTCTGTATCTTATTTTAAATGTGACTCTTGAAAGTTACATGTAGTTTGGTTTATGACAGCTTGGTAACCCTGTTTAGATGGAGCATTTCTTTATTATTTTTTGAGACAGAGTCTCACGTTGTCACCCTTGATAGAGTACTTTGGCTGTCACAGCTCATAGCAACCTCAAACTCTTGGGCTCAAATGATTCTCTTGCCTCAGCCTCCCAAGTAGCTGGGACTACAGGTTCCCACTACAACACCTGGTTATTTTTTTTGTTGTTGTTGTAGTTGTCATTGTTGTTGAGCAGGCCCGGGCTGGGTTTGAACCTGCCAGCCCCGGTGTATGTGGCTGGTGCCCTAACCACTGAGATATAGACACCAGGCTGCTTGGCTATTTTTGAAGATGGGGTCTCGCCCTTGCTCAGTCTGGTCCTGAACTTGTGAGCTCAGGCAGTCCACCCACTTCAGCCTCTCAAGTGCTGGCATTATAGTTGTGAGTCACCATACCTGGCTTATTTTATTATTTTTTTGAGACAGAGTCTCACTCAGTTGCCCTGGGTAGAGTGCTTTGGCATCACAGTTCACAGCAACTTCAAACTCTTAGGCTTGAGGAATCTACAGGCACTGGCCACTACTTAGGCTATTTTTTCTATTTTTATTTTATTTTATTCATTTTTTTCTTTTTTGAGATAGAGTCTCAAGCTGTCACCCTGGATAGAGTGCTATGACATCATAGCTTACAGCAACTTCCAACTCTTGGGCTTAAGAGATCCTTTTGCCTCAATTTTTCTATTTTTAGTAGAGACAAGGTCTCGCTTTTGCTCAGGCTGGTCTCAAACTCGTGAGCCCAAGCTATCCACCCACCTCGACCTCCCAGAGTGCTAGGATTACAGGTGTGAGCCACTGCACCAGCCAGTTTTTCTATTTTTAGTAGAGACAGGGTCTCACTCTTCCTTAGGCTGGTCTCAAACTCCTGAGTTCAAGGGAATTCTCTTGGCTAAGCCTTCCAGAGTGCTGGGATTATAGGTGTGAGCCACCACTCCTGCCCTAGATGGAGCATTTAGACCAGTGGTTCTCAACCTTTTAATGCTGCGGCCCTTTAATACAGTACCTGTAGGTTGCGACCCCTAGGCTGAGAACTGCTGATTTAGACTCTAGTAAGATAACTGGGTTCAGCTGGAGCATGTTACTATTTGCTTCCGATTTGTCTTGCCTGTTCTGTGTTTTTTTTCCCCTTCCCTTTATTGCCTTTTTTGGATCAATTTTTTAAAAATTTTGCTTCTCCCTAGGCCAGGTGTGGTGGCTCATGCCTGTAATCCTTAGCACTCTGGGAGGCTGAGGTGGGTGGATTGCCTGAGCTCACAAGTTCGAGACCAGCCTGAGCCATAGCAAGACACCCCACCCCCACCTCCCACCCCCGTCTCTAAAATTATCCAGGCATTGTGGTGGGTGCTACTTGGGAGGCTAGGGCAAGAGAATCACTTGAGCCCAAGAGTTTGAGGTTGCTGTGAGCTATGACACCATGGCACTCAGCCCCTTCCTGGCTCATAGGCTGTCGTTCCATGTATTTTAATCCCTCAGCATATTTTAAACCCTGCAAGATGTGTATAGAAACATGATTTCTTTCTTTTTTTTTGAGACAGAGCCTCAGGCTGAGCCCCTGGGTAGAGTGCCATGGCTTCACTGCTCACAGCAACCTCCAACTCCTGGGCTCAAGCAAGTCTCCTGCCTAAGCCTCCCAAGTAGCTGGGA